GCAGATATTAGGGCTGAACTTAATCAAGGATTTGGATAAGTTAAGTTGTTCGCCTGATATCTTAGTAAACCGCTGAATAATCTGCATGATATTAGTACAGGCTGTTGACGAAGCCTGAAAAAAGATGAGAGCATCATCCGCAAAGAATAAGTGCGAGATGGTCGGGCTCCTTCTAGACAACTTAATTCCTTGAAAAAGCTTCAAATCCTGACCCAAATGCAGCATACGAGAGAAAATGTCCATGCAGAAAAGGAAAAGGTACGGGGAGATGGGGTCACCCTGGCGGAGACCACATTGTGGTTTAAAGGAGTCCGAAGTAGCGCCATTAATCAAGGACTTGTAAGAAACCATGGCAAGACATTGTTGGATCATCTGAAACCAACGATCCGGAAACCCATAGGCTTTAAGCACCTGTAAAAGAAAACTCCAGTGAATTCTGTCATAAGCCTTGCTCATATCGATTTTGATCGAAGCGAGCCAATTATTGCCAGTTTTCGAACAATTAATTTTCTCCATTAACTCATGACCCATCAAAATATTATCCGTCATAACGCGACCTTGAACAAAGGCATGTTGAGAATCTGAGATGAGAAGAGGAAGATATTGGCGCATCCTTGCCACCAAACACTTGGAGGCACATTTGTACAATGTATTACAGAGGCTGATAGGACGTAAATGCCCCACCTCCGTTGGTGTACCAATCTTAGGAATCATAACAAGAAGGGACTGATTCCATTCTTTTAGTAGAAACCCCGTGTGGAAGAAGCTTTGTATGCCAGAGACAACCGAGTCGCCGACAACATCCCAGTGGGTCTTGAAAAATTCGACGGTAATTTCATCCGGACCCGGAGACTTACTGTTTCCTAGAGAAAACATAGCAGTGCGAATCTCAGAAGTAGAGAAGGGACGATCCAGGTTTGCAAGCTGAGAAGAATTGAGACGAGGAAGATCTAATTCTCGTAGAACAATATCAATCTCCGGATCATAAGGATGCATAGTATCACATCGAAAGGTATCTTTTAGGGATTTCACAACCACTCGCTGGACATCCGTCTGGCCATGCTGAAGAGTCCCTTGATCGTCAAATAAGGAACTAATCGCATTCTTTTTTTGTCGACTTTTAACCTTTGAAAACAAAAGTTTAGAAGGACAGTCTCCTTTAAGTATCCAATTTTTCTTACAGCGTTGTCTCCGGAATTGCAGCTGCAATAAAATATTATCCTTTGAAGTAACAATATTGGACATGTAGAGGGAGGCATCAGGGAGAGAATGAACTAGCTCACCCTCAGTAGCAAGATCCTTCGAAAAATGTTTCCAATCTATGCCCCAGAATTTCTTATTGTTGAGACACCAATTCCTAATAAGAGACTTGACATGTTGCAGGTTCTTAGAGGGAACAAACATTGGCGAGCCATTGACGTTGCGATGCCAAGTAGAAAGAACAAAGTCATGAATATCTTGGTATTCTAAACACCAGTTGTCTAGTTGATATGGGCGGAGCATTTGATTCTGAGTTTCGATTTTTTGAGAGAATGTTAAATATTGTAATTGTTTTAAAGTTTTTTTTATATATAAAAAAAAGTAATTTTCGGATTGAATCGGATATCCGAATTTTCAAATTTTTGTGATCCGAAGCCAATCAGAAAATTTTCGGATATCCGATCTGAATTATCTGAAATGTAAAAAACGGTATCGGGTATCCGAATTTTAGGATCGGATCACTCGCATCGTGGATCGGAAAAATCGGATCGGATTTTTTGTCCACCCTTAATTATCTCAGTAGAGTTGTCTTAAAATTTTTTGTTCACAAATGATAATAGAAAGTAAAAAAATAAACTATGACAATTGACAAATGTTATAAATATATGAAAGAAAAAATTTGTTTAATAAGTGATAATTATAAAATATAAAATTAAAATAAATAGTTGTAACTAATAAAAGCTAATAGTTTAATATAGTCTCTTTGTATTTATTTTCTAAAATACACAAAGTATGTCATAATTAACTAACTAAATAAAATTACTATATTATTATTATTATTATTATTATTATTATTATTTATTATTATTATTATTATTATTATTTTGTGAAGAATTCCTTATTAATTGTATGAGTTCCGTATTTATATAGTCAAACGTCAGCTTAAAAATTATTTTATCATATTGAGAATAATAATTATGCATTACTATTATAATCTAATACGGAGTAAGGGTACATCACTATTATACATCCATATGCTTATTGCAAGATTAAAAAAGGGATCAAGTATTAAATGTTTGCATGCATCTCTAATGATTGTATACATCATTATACATTTATATGTTGATGGTGCACGAATTATGATACGTGTTATGACTAATGAAACATGAAAGGTCCACAAAATGCACATTGATTTCATGTGAGGCAAGAAAACCGCCCATAGTATGCATTAAGAGTGTTCTTTTTTTTTTTTTTTTCTCTTTTTGTTTGAAGCTAATTAATTGTTTAATTTGCCTATATACCTAGAATATACCAAATTACCAAGTGTAACAATAACTTGGAATGTTGTCAAAGGTCAAAGGAGTTTTGGTAAAGATCAACCATTCTTGCTAGGTACCTAGGTTCCAAATTAAAGGTGATACTTTAGTATGGAGTAAAGTTTGTTTTATATAGATGGTTATTGGTAAATCATCAAAATGACAATGATTTTATATAAGGAGAATAAATTTTTAAGAAAAATTTACAATCATATTTGTACTTGTAAAAAATAGCAAATTTCTCTTTTTATATTTAAAAAAAAAAATAAAGATTAAGCTTACCTACAATCACTTTCAAAATTATAACGAAAATTTTTGTAAATTTGGAATAAGCTTTACTATTATCACTAAAGTTATTGCATTTATTAAAAAATAATTTCACTTGCACCTATATTTTGTTATGATAAACACAATTTAATCTTTTGACATATGAAATTGTTTTATAAAATTGTTCTGTAATATGTAGGAGGGACTAGGAATTTAGGTTAATTTGGTCCAAATACACAAATTAAATTATAATATATGGTTGGTGGTCAAACACTAAAAGGTTTGTAATTGGGAGGATTGAGATTTGGCACCCTTCCTTCACATCAAGGAAATTCCATTTGAGCTATCTCAAGAAAGAGAGATGAGTATATTTACACTCGTAAAATGGGTACTTCGTTAATCTAGTTCTATAATACTTGATTTTCAATGGATTGTATGGTGATTGAAATTATGTACTATATGTAGTATTCGAGTACTTAATTTTTGAGGGCGTATATACTCGTACTAAATAAATAAATGAGTAATTTTTTTAAATGATAATTTATTAAATGCAAAATAATACGTTATATATACATAAATCTTCTCCTCTTGTAAAATTTTGATGAATATATTGGTATTTTGTGTCTCCAAATGAAAACTTTACAAAGCAAAACATCAACTAACACAAATTCAACATCTAAATGTTTACACCACCTAACTCAACTCCCTCATTTAGAAAAAGAAAAAGGAAAAGGGAAAAGAAAAAAGAAGAGAGTGGTGGCAAATGGCAAGTGCGCGAAAACACGATAAAAAGCCTAGGGTGGTGGGCTATCTCCCTCAAACTAATACGGAGTTAAAGGGATAAAGTATTTGGGAGTTTCCTTTAATACTCTATTAGATTAATAGTCGTGCGATGCACGATTTAAGAAATTTTATAAATATTATATCATTAATTAATTGATTGCCTTTGCAACAAATCATATGAAAGGATACTTTTAGGAAGAAAAAGGTCATTAATGCATATTTGGTAATTAATAGTTGATAACTTGATACTCATACTTTTATTTATTTTTTAAAAAATAATCTTTCTAATATTTGAATTTACTTGTTGGAAAGATAAAAAAAATTGAATAAAATACTGATGTCATACTTAATTTTGGAGGGAAATTTTTTAATTAAAAAATAACATGTGTACAAAGATGATGTTAGCGGTTTTAACTTTAGTAATAGTTATAGATACTTATTTATTTGGAAAATCTTGAAAGAGAAAACACAATAAAGTATAATTTAAACTCCCTACGTTCCGCCTTTCAAAAAAAAAAAAAAAAAAAACTCCCTACATTCTCTTTTGATTATAATGTTACGAAGAATAGATTCGGAGTATATTTTAAAACTAATTAATGAAAAATTTGCCAATTACTACCGCAAGTTAATACTACTTTGTAAATTACTACCGCAAATTTAAAAAGTTGTGAATTATTACCGCAAAAAATTTTAAGATGTTGCGATTACTATCAAACCCCCATTAAACCCAACTATGACGTCATTATATCACTTTAACCCATGGTTAAAGCCCTTAACCATGACGTCATTATATCCCTAACCCATTTTCTTTTTTGGGGGGGAGGGGGGCTGGTTAAAGCCATTAACCATGGTCAAACACGGGTTAAAGAGATATAATGACGTCATAGTTGGGTTTAATGGGGGTTTGGTAGTAATCGCAACATCTTAAAAAATTTTTGCGGTAGTAATTCACAACTTTTTTAATTTGCGGTAGTTATTTACAAAGTGGTATTAACTTGCGGTAGTAATTGACAAATTATCCTTAATTAATATAAATTTAACAAGATTATGTCTAATTAGATTGAACCATATATATTTTTTTAAGGTAAGTTAAAAGACTCCTAACCAAACATCAATACTCATGATTTTCTTGATCCAATAATTGTGAGCCAAACTACGGTAAGAGTATATGAAAACAAAATTGCATGTATTATACATTTATATGTGTATATTTTTTATTTATTTTTTTGGAAGAAGAATTTATTTATGTATATCATAAAGTACAAATTATGTAAAGTACAAATTATATAGAGAGTACACGTATTGACTTTGTTTTTGTTTATTAAATTGATTTATTTTATTTATTTATTTTGTTGGCTGTCCAACTAGTCAAATGGGAAGAGTAGATTTTAATCCATACAAAATACAAATCATAATAGAATTATAAAAACACCAAATAAAAAACTTGTAAGCGAGTTAAAGGTAAAATTAAGCAGACTCACATATGTATTTTCAACTACTGGTATATATAAACAGTTCCTTCAAATTACATTTATTCATTATTTCCCCATTATTTCATCACCATTCAACAATCCATCGACCGACACCTTCTTCCTCCAGGACAGAGAAAGAGGGATATCAGATTCACCCAATTGCTTCTCTCAGGTCTTCTAATCTCATCTTTTTTATATATATATTTTGTTTACCCTTCTAATTAATTAAGCAATTTTATGTTGTCATTGTTGTTGTTGTTCTTAATCATGTTGCTGGATCTCTGGGTTTCTTCTTAATTTTGCTAAATTTTTGTGGGTTTTAGACCCTTGTAACGAAATGGGCAATGCTGGGATTTGTGATTTAGTTTGTGGGGTTTTGTCTGTTATCAATTTCTTATGATTTCTGTAAGTTTGGTGTGGTTGATCTTGTGGGTTGTTATAGGAACTGTTTTTTTTAGCTTGAATTAACTATAGACGGAATTTGATCCTGGGTCTTGGTTATCAGTCCTCATGTCATTGGTCTTATTGGGAGTAGCCGAGTGGGTCTATAACCTCAATTTGGCATTGATTTTGATCGTAAGAGATATAAATTGGTTAGGGGAATTGGTCAAAGCAAGTCATAATCTTTAGATTGCTTTTTTTTTTTTTTTTTTTTTTTATTTATCTCATTCAAATTCCGAAGATTTGCTTTTTATTTTTTATTTATTATTAATATTAAATTTATATGGATTGCTGTTGTAAATTTGATTAGTCTACATTGCAATTTTGTTTGATGATGTGCTTTAGGAATATATAATTTCAGACTTGTGTTATTATGTCTAGGATTTTTTGTTTCATTTTAAACAACCAGAAAACATATTAGAATGAATCATGTTTACGCGATATATCTTATAAGGTATGCTGCCTCAGCTATCTGGTTAATGTTTAGGAAACTGTGTTTGAGTAAGCTCTAAACATATTTACAGTTTGTGTTTAGTCTGAGTGAGCAAATAGAGATTGCTGGACTCATTGGGAAGAATCAAACAAAGGCAGATTTAGGCAGAAGAGTACGCTGTTATATACTTTTATATCTGAGGAGATATGATACGAGTACTTTTTTTGGGGTGAACTAGGGGGGTAGAAGTGGTGGAATTTTCTATTGCAGGGAGTAAGAATGCTGAGTAAATAATTGGATTGATTAGGTCAGCTCAAGTGAGAATGGATTTTAGAAATTAAGGACCATGAAGGAAGGCTTATGACTGAAAGTGCTAGGAATTGTATTAGTCTATAAGGATTCTGACATTTTACCATGACGTATGACTAGTGTAGGCCTCCTGTAGAGTGTGTTTGGGATACGATGGAACTGGCATTGATAGGAAAGTATGTAATCCAATCTGGCCAACTTGTAGGATGCACGTATAAAAACTTCGCCACCATGATAAGTTGATAACCATATCTTATTGTTACTCTGGTGCCATTTACAAAGCTATCAGTTTCAGAGAGTATCAAATTTAAGCTGCCTGTTTCCCTTATCCTCGTTAAGGATTTCAGGAAGGCCTGTACTATCTGTCACTTCTCCTCCAGTCAGGAAAGGAGATATAAAAATTTGTGGTAAACTTGTGGTGAAGTTTTGACTTAATTCTGTAGAGATTTAGAATGCGATACTTAATTCATAGGGAGTCTCATAGTTCTTTCAATGTGCTCAAATATATTCTTCTAGTTTTGTACATTGACACATAGATTTATTGTTGATACTTGATGCTTATATTGCTTAATGTATGGAGCTCATCCCTGACGTTGTCTTTGTTCATAACAGTGTTAAATTTTATGCCCTGCTTCATTGTTTCATATGTTTATATATGATTAGGTTTTGATTTCAAATCATACAAGAAGGAAAGCAATTTAGTGATTCAAGATGAAGGCTTTGATTCTTGTTGGAGGTTTTGGAACCAGGCTGAGGCCATTGACACTCAGTGTCCCTAAGCCTCTTGTCGATTTCGCTAACAAGCCAATGATCATGCATCAGGTTTGTAATCTGCTCTATTATGAATATTTGCTCTCGGGATTTGATGTGTCTCTATGATTTGTAATGATTGCCTGCATTATGCCATTTGTGACACCTTGAAGAATATGTTGATTCTTATGTCATGTCACAATTTAGACTTCAGAATTATAATGCCAAACTGCCCAAATATCATGAATATAGAACATGGTGCTATTGGATCTATGTGCAAGTAAGTATTGTAAAAGCATTCTTGCTGTGAAAGACTAGTTTTTTTTTTTTTTTCCTCATATATACTTTCTGCAATTATGTTCAGATTGAAGCTCTGAAGGCTGTTGGAGTTACTGAAGTGGTTTTGGCTATCAATTACCAACCTGAGGTGAATTTCCCGTGCTATAAACTTAGTTGCACACATGGTGCTATAGTTCAAGTATTAACACAAATATTTATTCTGTGCCTTTGACAGGTGATGTTAAACTTCTTGAAAGACTTTGAGGCTAAGCTTGGGATCACAATTACCTGCTCCCAAGAGACTGAGCCTCTGGGTACTGCTGGTCCTTTGGCTTTGGCTAGGGACAAACTGGTTGATGAATCAGGTGAGCCATTTTTTGTTCTTAACAGCGATGTTATAAGTGAATACCCGTTAAAAGCAATGATTGAGTTCCACAAAAGTCATGGAGGAGAGGCTTCGATTATGGTAACAAAGGTACTTAAATTAGACTGCCTCTCGCTTCATTTTCCGATAACCATTATTGTGTGATCTTTTTGTCAAATTTTTAATGTTCTTGTTTGTAATCTGACAGGTTAATGAACCATCAAAGTATGGGGTTGTAGTAATGGAGGAATCCACTGGGAAGGTAGAGAAGTTTGTTGAAAAACCCAAAATATTTGTAGGTAACAAGATTAATGCTGGAATCTACCTATTGAACCCATCCGTCCTTGACAAGATTGAACTAAGACCCACTTCAATTGAAAAAGAGGTCTTCCCCAAAATTGCATCTGAGAATAAGCTCTTTGCTATGGTTCTACCTGGCTTTTGGATGGACATTGGACAACCAAGAGATTATATTACTGGCTTGAGGCTCTACCTTGGCTCGCTGAGAAAGAATTCATCACCGAAACTTGCCAGTGGCTCTCATATTGTTGGCAATGTCTTGGTTGATGAGAGCGCGAAAATTGGAGAGGGATGTCTCATTGGGCCAGATGTAGCAATTGGACCTGGCTGTGTGATAGAATCGGGTGTGAGACTTTCTCGCTGCACAATTATGCGAGGGGTTCGAGTCAAAAAACATGCTTGCATCTCCAGCAGCATCATCGGATGGCACTCAACAATTGGGCAGTGGGCTCGAGTAGAGAATATGACAGTTCTTGGAGAAGATGTTCATGTCTGTGATGAGATTTACAGCAATGGCGGAGTTGTTTTGCCCCACAAGGAGATCAAAACTAGCATTTTGAAGCCGGAGATAGTAATGTGAATGTGATTCAGATAGCTCTCCGACAAGGTAGATTATTCTCAGGAAGTTGTAATTTAATTCTATTCATATGTTCTCTGTTGCATAATTGCATTTTGTTAAGAGTGAGTCTTGGCAAATTTTCCGATGAGCATCCCTATGTGAAGTGTGTATGTTAATTGTTAATCATTTATCTCACTAGCCCTGTGCCCTTTGCTCCCAAGTTGTGTACATAGGAAAATAATTGTATTTCTTTGGATCTTTCTGTGGTTCATCTCATTGATTTTTTTGTTGTAATCTTTCAATAATACATTCTTGATTTCAAGCACTTAGAACATGTTCAATATAAGGATCTGTCCTACTTTTTTGTGTCTATTTCGAGCTTTCGAATTCTCCTTGTATTTAGATTTCCTTGGTATTGCAAATTAATTTTTTGAGCAGTGTACCTTCCATACCCAACCAAAATCTACTTGTTCAAAATAATTGATGTGTTTGGAAGTGGTCGAACCACAACTTTTGCCCATCAGGGGTGGCCTCTATATAACATTTCATTGAGAAATGATCACTACAGTAGTGTTTTTATTTTCAACTTTTAGTAGGTATCCAAAACGATAAGATAGGGGATGCCATGGGCCGTTTTGATATAATTAACATATAGGCTATAGGTCTAGTTAATATTCGATAACATAAGTTTTAATCAGTAAAAAAAAAAAAAAAAAAAAAAAAAGAATGTCAAAACTCCATACTATACTATGATCATGAAACCTTTATAAGCAGGAGCTTTATATTTCATTGAGTAGGAAATGATTTGGTACTACAAAAAGAATGGGGCAAGCTAGTAATGCGCAAGTCTTTTGAGGGACGGGCTGCTAAAAGTGGAAAAAACTAATCTTGATTAACACTCTAATTAAAGTGCATTCTCCAATTTTCATGTGTGACCAATTTTGCTGTGAAAGTGTCCTACCATGTGAAATGGCAACCAATGCCACCTCTTATTATTCTATCCTAAGTTAAGTTTTTTTTTCATGCATCTCAAGTTCTCAACGTGAAGTCGTGAACATGTCAGACCAAAAAATAATAAGTACTCCATAAAATTTATATGAACAAATTTATAAAAAAAAAAAATTATGCAAATAGTATTTAACCCTTTTTAATTTCCGATTTTACTGATGAGATGTTCCAGAAATGTCTTTTCCTCACTTGGTTTGTCTGGTTTAGGCGGAATAGGTGGGTTTTTGAGAATTCTTGGGACCTTGACGACTTGCTTAATCAAAGGCACAGTAGGTTGGTTGCAGACTTTGGTGAATATATGGAAAAGATCTATGGAGGAATTGTCCAACCTGTAGCCCCTGGCAGAATGATTTGGTCCCCCCCTCCATCTGGTGTTTTGAAGATCAATGTAGATGCCTCAATTAGTGAAGATGGGTGGGTTGGATTAGGGATTTGCTGCTGACGCGTGATTACAGGGGCCAAGTTCGATTTGCTGCTGCTCGTAGAATTAGAGCAAGATGGGACCCCCTCATTGCCGAATGTAAAGCTGCTCTGTTTGGCATTAAGTTGGCTGGAGAATATGGTTTCAGTGATGTTATAATTGAGTCTGATTCTTTGCTGTTAGTCTCAAAGCTCAAGAAATGTTCTTTCTCCTTCTCTGCGGCTGATAATATCCTTGAGGATATTGTTTTGTTTAGCTCTTGTTTTACTTCCATTATGTGGTCTCATGTTAAACGTGATGGTAACTTTGTTGCCCATCATATTGCTAGGTTAGTGCCGTTGAATAATGATCAACGATGGGAAAATCATGTTCCTTGTGAGATTTCCCCATATGTACGTTTGGATATTTTTGCCATGAATTAATGCACTAACCGCTTTCTTCAAAAAAAAAAAAAAAAAAAAAAAAAAAAAAAAAAAAAAAAAAAATCCGATGTTTGAAACTATTTCGTTAAAATATAAACAAGTGAAATTGTATTACATGTAAAAGAAAACATAGGAAATATGTTATCACTGTGTACAACTATGATGGGCTGACTAACTGCCTAGCTACTGTAGTACTGTGTATTGACAACAAGTAGGCTGTCAATTTCCAAAATAATCTTAAGATTTTTCTCTATGTTCTTGGCTCTTAGCTATACGCCCATACTCGTGGTCTAATGATATGATCCATGGACCATACATGCATATGATTAAATTGAATCATGGTGTGGTTTTTAAACATTAGATATTGTCCCTGTCCACAAAAAAAAAAAAAAAAAAAAGGTTTAGATATCGTGTATTGTGGTGGAGCCATAATTTTTAAAAACGTGATGTCGATTGTATATATAATTGTTTCGGGTGAAAACAATGGGACCTTGGCGAAGGTCCAATGAAGTGGATGAAGACTAATCCGGTCCAAATGATGATGGGCCGAAGGTTTCCTGCACAGCATATACACGTAAACTGGCCTCGGGGGTGGTTCTGAGGAAAGCCCCTCCGATGCCGAAATCAAATGGTGTTTAGAGAGAGAAAGCTATGCAAGAGAATTAATGCTTGAGGCTTAAATGTGAATGAATGATAAATGATGTAATTGAAGGCTTTTATACCTTAGCTTGGCAAGGAGAATGAATGGGCTGGACTTAATCATGGGCTGACCATGACAATTTGGGCCGCTGACTTTATATTGACTTGGCAAGATGGAGGCTTGGGCCTTGAACTTGGCACAGATTGAATCATTTAATGACCAAACCCAATTAGCATAATTGGACCCAAACAACTTGCCCCCCAGACCCGATTTGGAAGGATGACGGGTCGGGTCTGACTTTAATAAAAATGGAGGGAAGTAAATGATTTAATTAAATCAAAAGATTTAGATTTTAAACAGTCATTAACTAAATAACTGTAATTAAGATAATGAGTTGGAAGTTGAGTGGATAATGGGCAGTTAATTAAGGAAGAGAGTGTTTAACGGTTACTTGAGGAGGTATTTAAGAGAAATTAAGCATTCTGACTCTCAAAATTCCAATTTTCTGGAAATATAAAGCCAAATTTGCTCTTCTCTCCTCGTTTCTTCACCAATTCACTCTCGAACTCCCTGAAAAACCACTTTTCTACGCTTTAAAACTTCGCTCCACCCCCGAAATCAAAGCTTGACACTTGAACCCGTTGCTCCGACTGATTGAATCGGCGAGTTTCGATTTATATAAAGGTAAATTTTTTCGAATTTTCCTTGATTTTCTTAGTTTTTGAAAGAATTCCCTTTTTCCCGACTTCCTTTCTTGCGAACTCAACAATGGCTCGAGGAAGAGGACGCCGGACTGGACGACGAGGTCAGGCCAGGGACCCAAGGAACCGCGCCGATGTATGGAACGGGGAACAAGTGCGGGAAGACCCAGAAAGGGGTATTCCGGCCGTCCCCTTGAACGTTGCTGCCCCCCAGCAAGGCGCCGAGGCTGGTGGCGCTGAATAGGAGGGAGATCTGCCTCCCGTGCTTTGGAACTTGCTCTCTGGGCGCATTGAGTGGCAAAATGCCAAAGCCCAGAGAGCCATGAGGAAAAACGCCCCTTACTATTGGTGGGTTAGGCATGCCGAAGCTTATCGGTGTGCCGAACAGATAGAGTTGCATTATGGCATTTTTGAAGAAGATGGGTATTGGTGCCGAATGCCCGCGCCGACGGATAGAATTCATCGTCCTCCCCCTGGATATGTGGGGGTATATACTCGGCAATTGCAGCACGGGCTTCGGTTCCCCTAATATCCCTTCGTCAAGGACATTTTAATAAAGTACAGGATTTCCCTGTGCCAGTTGACGTCTGTCAGCATTCGGTGGGTAATGACTTATCTCTGGGTGTGTCGGTTTTTTGCTGTTGAGCCGAGTTTATACTGTTTCCGAAAGATGCACAAGCTAGAGCAGAACACCCAGAGCCAATATGGTCATCACGGGCCTGGCTAGTGGCGAATTGAGAGCCACCCACAATATTTAACCATGTGGCCAAACGATTCTTCGGACAAGGATTGGCGAGGCCAATGGATCTGGGTAAGGGCTCCAGCAGATCCAGAGCACCCCTACTTTTTCGCCCCCCCCCCCCCCCGCTATCTCTCCCGGCCTGATCCAAACATGCAAGACTTGGGTCCTGAAGATCCTGATGCCGCTCGTCATCCCAGTTATGAGCAGATGGAATTCTTCGGCAAACAGGAGAATCCTGGGGGAGCTGGCTGAATGAAGTTCATCCCGACGAGATGGCTTCCAGATAACCATTATGTCTTCCAAGAGAAGATGTTGGCGGTTGTCGGCCTCAGCCGAAAGCATAGAGGCGGTAAGTACCTTCGGCTGGGGCCGAGGACTTGCTCTATTTACTTTCTTATCGCTTTATTCGTTTTGTCTATTCCCTAAGGCTAACCTTCACTTTGCCCTTTCAGAGCTGAGCGAGGCGACCTCCGAAATTGACTACGATCGGCTAGGAGTGAACGCTGAAAGGGTCATTCTAGACCGAGCTTCTGCGATCACTAGTCCGAAGGACTGTCCGCTGCATTTGCACTCAACGGGCCTTCAGATTGAGGCTGCTGTAGACTACCTAAAGCAGAAGCCTTGGTGGGAGAAGCAGGATCCTTTGAGGCCCCTGCTACCCGAAGAAGTGCAAGCCGCTCAAACTGCGCGGACGTGAACAGAGCGATTAACTCCCTAGAAAGGGGAGAAGGGACTTCTGGTGCTGCCAAGGCTCAGCCGAATACTTCGTAAGGTCTTCAGCACTTTGCTGTTTGCTTGTTTGTTTGTTTTTTTTTTTTTTTTTTGCTGATCCCTTCTTGCTCCCCCACTTCTACAGTCTGAGAAAGAGGGCAGAAGGAGAGAGGGGAAGGCTCCACAATCGTCAGACGATCTTTCAGAACTTGACTCTTCGAATTTTGACGACATGGATGATCAACCTCTGGAGCAGAGGAAGAGAAGAAGGACGGGCCCAGCTGTAGTGGGTCCGGGAGATTTTACGCTGAGGTCGATGTCTGGCGTCGTAATAAGGGAGCCTGCCGCTGGCCGAGGCAGGGTTCCCAGAGGTACAGGGGGTCTTTCGCCCCCGACTCAGCCGCCGCCACTAATTCCGTCACCGCCGAGGACCCCTCCACCACCTCCTCCTGCTGACGACATGGAGGTGGATCAGCGAACTCCTGACCCAAAGGAGGGGGTTCCTGAGGCGGTTTCTAACAAGGGGAGTGCTTCTGAGCTCCCTGAGAATGAAGTCGTCAAAGCAGCCGAAGAGGCTGCTGCTGCTGAAGACGAGGCCCCTAGGGGCTTCACTGCTGAAATCCAGCAAGAGGTTGACGCCTTGACAAGTCAACCTCTTGGAGAGGCTGAAGGGGTCCAGATCGAAGGGGACCACGCTGAAGGAGGGGAAACGACTAGGCTCGAAAAA